TCGGACCGAAAGATAAAAAAAAGGGCAGACAGACTTGGCTATTGAATCCAAATTAGGAATATATGTGCATATTTAAAGCCCTGCGTGAGTAAAGTGTTAACTTTCATCTTAAAAAAAAGGTTCGAGTAAATCATGTCTGAATTTTTTTTGACTTGAGAGGCGGAGTCATTTTTTGAGTAAATGCTCCAGTGCAGAGTGGGATACTTATCGCCTCTATTAGTTTTTAGGTTCTCTTAAAAGGTTTCATTACGTCCGAAATTTATTTTTATTTTACGCAGTTTTTTCAATCCTTTCATTGGGGACAGCCGGTTAACAAGATTTTCCTAAAAGGAAATTTAAAATACTTCCAAAAACTAGAATCCTAGCTGAATCATTGTATTTATCCAATCTTATATCTGCAATCATTTTAAAGCTTGATAATTTTCAACTTTCCATTTAGTAGTTTCCTTAGCTACAACTCTTTGAATCACATGACTTATATTACAAGTGCTTTTGTTAAATTTAAAGACCGCAAAGCGTTTCCAACAGCCCAAAATGTTGTCCATGTCATGGCCTTTTTATTTCTTCATCATTACTTTTGTTTGCGCATTGGATAAAATCGGTCGTTACACTAAAAGCTGAACAAGAACAGATAGATCTTCTTTAAAGAAATATTTCGATTTATATGCGTGTGACGGACGTGGACTAAAAACTTTTAAGCAGTGTCGTTTTTTTTTTAATTTACAATCGTATAGTTTTGTTTACATAAAATTAAATCCGTAATTCTGACAATGCAAGATAGTAGTTTCCACATACTGTATCCGTAAACGCTTAGAAACAACGAAGCTATATTTGTTTTCATTTAGTTTTCCTATTGTTCAAATAGGAGCAATATGATTTAGCTGTCTGAACCGGTCAGACTGACGGAATCTATATGATTAAAATTATAACCAACTTTCGGAAAGTATAAAAATTGACAATACCTCGAAATGTATCTGTATATGTATGTTTAGAAAAAACGAAGCAATCATTTTTTTAACTCTCTTTTCCCGATTGTTCCGATGGGAACTATATGACATAGTCTTCCGGTCGACGTCTTTTTTTGCAGATATTACAACAGAAAAGTTTGCAAAAGTTTCATCCAGACAGCTTAAGTACTAAAAGACTAGTATGGCTCATAAAAACAAAATTTTACCTTAATGATGCAGGGTTTTAATATTATATATACTTTCAACAAACTTTGCCACTCTTTACATAAAGGGTATAACAATGTGCAAAATAACCAAAATTATGTATGTAATGTATTGTTGGGGTGGTCACTCGTAGTGGTTACAATTAAAGGTGGTCGGTTGGCCGATTGTTCTTCAGCTTTAGGACGCCGGGGTGATCCCGCGTAATGATAAATTAGGTAGATTATGGTGGCGGCTTGCCGGAATTTTTTTTAGTAAGAAAACTTGTGTTCTTTATTATTTGGGTATTCAAAATGAACTGAACTTAAAGCTAACAGGAATGGAACTTCATAGCGGCCACGCAAATATGCTATGTTCGCCGGCTATGTAGTTTGGCCGGTGTCGGTCTTCGGACATTCGTTCATCGCCGTCTCCCGGTTGACTTAGTAAACTACTCCCCCTCAGGAATGAAGCCGCCCTTGGCCGATCCTATGTGGGCAATCACTTCTCTTAATTGGAGCGCAGATCTCCTGGCCCTGGTGATTCGCTGACGCAGATCAACGCGCAACATATTGTTCCTGCAATAAGCGCCATATGATATAGTCGATAGTTGTTTACATCCTCCCCTAACATTTTAATATATTCCAAATTACGTTCACTTAATCAGTATAGGTATGGAAGACTAAGGATGTCGTGTTTCACGGTTATGTTCAGGGAGGGCGAGCTGTCTACTCTTGGAGCCTTTTCTGGGGCTGTGTCATGATTACTACGTATATGGACGTAGTTGCCGTTGTTTACACTCATGCGAGCCGGTCGATCGTAAGTGACGTAAGTGATGTAATTCACTCTGCTGGGCGTCGCAGTGCGCTGTCCCTCATGCGTGGAGTTCTTGGGCGCACGATCTTCTTAGAGCCAGTTGGCAAAACGTGACCCCCGGTGCTATGAAGCCGTTTTTGACTGTATGAATTTATCCGCTATTTAACGGTTTGTAATATTTCGATGGTCTCATCCATCCATACATTTTCCAGGTCTGCATGATCTAATATCAGCTCACAATATTGACTTTAGCAATGACTACGGCTAGTATTACATTTTGCAGCTCCAGTGCAATCATCCTATTCCGAGTTAGGTGTCCTGTATCAATTTCGGAATTTTTTACCGGCTTCAGAATTTGATTGACAGTAGTACAAATTTCGTTAATTTGATATTGTATCTTATTATTGATTATTTATTAATTGAACCTCAGTGAATTTAATTTTTTCCAAATCTTGTGCATCTGGCGTCCCCGGCCCTACCTTTAACGGCGTTCCTAGGAAGTCTTAGCTTTTAGCTACTCTGAGCGATGTGAACGCTCAAAAGCTTTTGTCATCTGTGACTGGGGAAACATGTTGGTCATGCCATCGGTTTCCTACACTACGCGCCGATATTCTAAGAGATTCGCAGAGTGTTTTACAAATGCGAATTCCCCCCATACTAAATTAAATTAATTAACAATTGCCTACTAGAATAAAAGGTAAGATAAGATTTGCACACCAGATTAGGCGCCGAAAAGAAAAAAGTAGAAACATTTGTTCTACTTATTCCAGAATCGGATGGACTAGCAAAATAAATAAAGTCTTAGTGATATAAGGGTCATAGAATTCGTTTAAACACCTTTAAACAACACCAAAAACGAGGGAAGGAGGATAATAAATAATGTAAAAAGAGGCGGACCAAGATGGCTTCCTTGTGGGAGTTAATGTTAGATTGAATATTGTCTTTTGACTTGTGCCCAAAATATATGAATATCTTGTAGCAGTCGAATACAAGAATAAACACTGAGCTTTGAACAAAAAATACGGGAGAACGGAAAACACCGCCGTAGCATTGACTAAGGAGCTGTTGACAAGGACAATTTTGCGTGGAAGCTCAACTTTCCGAGGTGGAATAGAATGAATGTCCTTCAATGTAATAATGCTTATAAGACGGTATACCAAGGTGTTCGAAAAACGAACACACGGCTATTGTAAATTGCATGATTCGGGACACGAGGCGCTATGTCCAGGTCAGCCGATACGAAAGAAATATTACCTTCATGCCCGTCGATGTCCGATCCTTATATATGATATATGCACTTCTTCTGCTCAAAAGCTTCGTACTATGAACTCCGGCTTGTATCTGGAGGGATAACATGCAAAATTAAAGAAAGTAAGTCCGACACACCAACGAATCCAGCCCGAATCCTGAAACACCCTAAGGTTCCATTCTCATCCGAATGCACGTAATTTTTTTCGTCTAGAATTACAGTTAGTCAGATTCAACGGCTGGACCTGATCGCCATGTTCGTTCCATTTAATTAAAGTCTTAGAACCTACTAACGCCAATTACTACAAGACGTTTGAACTAACTTACAAAGCGTCTTAATAACACATTGCTACATTTTCAGGGCGAACGGGCGATCTTTGGACTTCCAGAAATCGAAAAGTGACTTCAGCTCCATGTTAACAACCAAAGAATTGCCTACAGAGTGGTTATACACTCAAACTCACATAAGCTCAACCATAAAGTCTGTTAAAGAATCCTTTTTCTCTCGTAAGGCAAACTTTTAAACTTTCAAACAATAGCAGATCCTCAGTGCAGATTTTAAGTTTATTAAACACATTCAACATCAAATAATTTTACACAATTAGGTAAGGGCTTGGTTTGTATTTATGGTTTTCTATCTCCCTCATTTCAAGTTTCTTTTTTTTGCTCTCCGTCGCTCGACGCTGTTGGAATGGCACGTTCTTTCTCTACCTAACTGAAATTCTTTCTAAGGAATCGAAGATCGTTGGAGAGTTTTTGCACGACAAAACTTAAAGTTGTTACGCTCCCGATCTATAACTTTCTCTGACTATCCCGTTAAGAGGTGCCTATTATCGGACTTAATCGGCGTTAAGATCCCACTCGCTCTCGTTCTCTGTATATCTCGTTTCCGTGACCAATATCAAAGTTTATTGGTGTTACGGTCCAATTAAGGGGGGAAACCAGTTTAGATGGTTCAAAACATCGATTTTTTATATATTGCATAAATTGTTAGAACAACTATTCAAGAATATGTTGCTTAAGTTTCAAAACGAAATTCAAATTAGTTCCGATGATATGAGCACTCAGAACGAGTGCATTTTTCAAATGCGTTTTTCTCGAAACGACTTTTTTTCAACTTGCGGTCATCCTAGCTCGGAAAGTTATTGACGAATCGAACTGAAAATTTATGTGAATATTCCTTATTCAAGTCCGAAAAATATGAACCAAACTCTGAATGATATTATAAACTGAAATACATTTTTTTATGTAAGAAAGGTGATGATATAAAAACATGACAATTTTTCCAAACACCTCCAAAACATTAAATTTTCAACAATTTCGGTCAGAGTTTGGGTCATATTCTTAGAAAATACGTTAAATTAATGATTTCAGATAAAAACTGCGACCTCCAGGATGCCCGAAAAGGGGTCAACTCTGATGGCGATCGTCAATGGACACCAGCCTCTAACTCCCCCAATTCCGGCGGAAATGACTTACCAAAATTTGAAAGTGTAGTTCAAAACAGAAATAAACTGCTACTAGTTTAAACAAATTTGAGTTATTATACACTTACAAAAAAAAGTCACGAAAAACACTTAATTTCAGACTTCTAAACTGGTTTCCCTCCTTAAGCTTGAAAATGCATTCTTTTTAGTTAAGAACTGGAACCGAAAAATGCCTTTCGTGACCCCTTTACGCCTTCTCTTAGTTTCTAGGCCGAAGCTCTAATGAATAATATTTAAATTCTAGTTCTGAACAAAACCGAAGTCAACATTTTTTGGACTTACGGCCCTATTAAAAACTAACCTTAATATCCTTTAGGGTTAAAATATCATTGGCGATGGTGGTGTTGATAATCGCTGGCTTTTTTTTTATGCTTGGAAAAATAATTCCATCTTTCCGAATAGCTGATTTTGACCCATTGATTAAAGCTCCGGTGCTGTAAGTGATGATGGGGCTTATTGGCGTGGAATGTAATTGATCCAGCATTAAATCTCCAGTTGAGGAAGTAAATAGAGTGGGTGAAATAGTGTTCACAATGGTAGGTTGAACGTAAGAGAATGACGACGACAAATTCGCCCTTTTAAATGTTTCATCAATTAAAGAGTGGCTTAAAAAAAAATTAGTTAGAAAATATGAAACAAAAACATTTTTTTAAATAATGAATTTACCTATTTAAGTCATATTTCAATATACTGTCGATTTTTTTGTCTGCAATAAGCTCAGGTGGCTCAGGTAGTTTAGCTAATATTTGAACATAATTTTCCTGTTTTTTTAATCGTTTTTCCACCTTATCTAAGTTATTGATAATCAAGTTGGTTTTCGTTTTAAGATCTTGATGGATTTCATCAATTGCTCGCTCTTGTCGTTGAGTTTGTGTTAGAAGAGCCGCGGACTTGGGAAGCAGATAATCCACAGTTGATTTTGTGTCGACCACGACGTCCCAAACTTCATCAATTTTTTCAGAAACCATTGGTCGTATTTGTTTAACTAAAACTTCAAGTTTGCTTGATTTCAACGGTGACGCCGCTGTTGTGGCATTTAAAATTTGAAACTGTTTGTTATTATCGACTACAGCAAAATGTATCTCATGCATCATATTCATCATTATCCCAATATTTTCAGACACAACATTTATGTGGAATTGTAACTTTTTATCAATGTTGTCAGCTGACTCGCGAAGATCCCTTAATTCGGATGACATATGTGTCATGGCTTCAGAACTCAACGCTTTTGTAATGTCGTTTACATTAATTGTGACGGGCTTCTTTTCACTAGCCTCGCCGTTAAAGTCTTCAACTTGCAAATAATTATTATCTATTTGCACCTTAAGGCATTCTAGCTTATTATCTATATCAATGACTTTACGATCAATCTTTACTATTCGTTCGTTGAGTAATTTTGACGAGTTTTGTTCCAGCTTGGTAGTTTGGTTTATAACGTCCAAGAATTGTGCACGTATTTTAGGCACACCATTGGAAATCGTTTTCTCTATATTGTCCAGCTGAAAAATAATTAAATCCGTTTTTTCTATATTTTTTACTACCTGATTTTGCAGCGCATCCATATTTTTCATTATAAGATCAACTGTTTTATCGAGACGATCGATGCGATTAAGTTTTCCTTCCAGAGTGGTTATAATAATTTCAAATATATTTATTAATTGTTGTTCTCTGAAATAAGTAAAAGAGCAAAGGGAGATGAATAAACATGAAATTACTTGTATAATATTGAATTAGTTAATAAACTTATAGGTAATGCAGCTATACACCAGATCAACGATTTTTGTTGAAAACATCGATTGTTTTACTGATCTAATAGTTTTATTCGAGAGAAGAGATGGATGGATAGCTGAATACAATCACAAGCTTCTTTATTGCAAGCTGAAACTAGACCAACAACAGGATAAGCGGCTTATCTTAGTCCCAAAGTCAAGAATGACTGATTTTTGGTAACATCGATCTCTTTTAAATCCGCGATGTTAGAGTAGGAAGACATTAAGTCTATGGATGTCAAAAATATATCAAAATATCAATATACCGATATTTTTTGCAAAAAAAAAAAATATTTATATCGTAATATTTTTTTAGCCAAATATCAAAATATCGATAGTTTTTTTTCGATATTGTTTGATACTTGCATATCTTTCTCGCATGTACATAAGCATGCCTTACACCGACTGGGACAGCGATCCGGTGTAAAGGGCTGCACGGCCGCATTCAAAACGACTTATGAGACATTCATCTGCCAATGAGTTGTATGAATTCAACTCATCGAACTCACACATAGAGAGAGCGAATTGAATGCCGAAAGAACCGGGTAAAAATAGTGAGTGCGATGAATGACGCATTGTTTCCTTTACGTGAGCTGTATTTACTAGTGCGAAATTAAATAAGAGACAATAATACAATGTTTATTTTCATTTCATGTATGTATATTTCGTTTAAAAACTAATTATTAATTTTTCCTTTATAAATATTATTTATATTAGAATGTAGAAACATAATTTTATTTATGCTTTCTGGATTTTTTGATACACTGCAGCGTTTTTCAGTAATTAAGTTTCTGGCATCAGAAAACGCTCTCTCAGAAGCCGCGCTAGTTGCTGGTATACAAAAAATCTTACAACTAGTCTTAAGGGGTTATCCGGGTCTTGACACTTCAAAAAATTCATTTTTTTCAAACTTTTTTATACAATAGTACAAAGTTTCAGGAATGTTGTCTGAAAATTTCAAGTCGATCGAAGCAAAACTGTAGGAATGGGAGAAATTTAAAGCCCAGAGCGTCGAACGTCACAACGGGCAATTCGGGCTCTGGCGTCGGGCAGATGCGGCACTTTAAACGCGTTTTTCTCAAAACCACTTTTTTGAAGTCGGTAGTCACGATTTCTCAAAAACTATTGCACCGATACACTTCTGCTTTTGCACACTTCTTTTAGACATAATTCTCTTGTCCTTAACGGAGGGAATTTTTAAATTTTTAATTACAACTCTTTTTATAAGCTAAAATATGGCCAAATTTACGTAAAAAATGACACTTTTTATGAAAAGCGCTACAAAAAATTCAATTTTTAATTTTAAAAAAAAATGGCTCGTAGAGGACAAGCGAGACACATACACTATCAGAATAATTTTGGTTTTTTGATTTCAGATAAAAATTGACGAAGATATTTTGCCTACCGCAAGGACACAATTTTTTATGAGGTCAAGTTAAAGCCTGCCTCAACGGCTCAATTTTAAAACATTTTGGTTCAAATTTTTACACAATGTTGGTCAAACCATAAACATTAATGTACAATAAATGAAATTTGTGAAATTGTCGTAAGATCTTTTAAAAAATTCACGAAAATAGGCTTTTTTTCGTGCTTCAAGACCCGGGGAACATTTTTTTATGGTCGGTCCACCAACTAAGGCAATCAAAACTATCTGAAAAAATTACAATTGTGTTACAATAACAGTTTATTTCCTTGTCTATTTGGATTTATTAAGGTTGTAGCTTTTTGGACTTCGATGAAATCAATAAATGCATCATCATGACAAAGCGGCGCACAAATTGTATACTGAGTATTCAGTCAATTCTATGCTTCATTCATTGACTCATTCCGTTTTGCACACACATTCATTCAATGCCATTTCATATGAATACTCAAAATTGCGCTCAAATTAGAGTACACAACTCAAAAATAAGAGTACACAATACAAAAATTTGAGTGCCACGGCTGCTCTCTAATCCGGTGGAATTCTGGTACTCGGGTAGCTCAGTGTCGTCAGAGCGGTTAGCGTCGGCTATTAAGTGCGTTGTCTTCGACACACGCAGCCGTTCATGCGGCCACATAACGGAAAGAGTATTTTTAAAATCCATAAGCAAAGACCTATGAAACTAATAAAATAACAAATGTAGCAAAACGTATTTTATTTTTTATATTTTTTTAATGCTTTTACTTTAATTTTAGGGCAAAAGTCTTGTTTCTTTGTTGTTAGCTTATTTACGCGGCTAAAATTTTTGAAATTCAACTGAAAAAAAAATCAAAAATATCTGATATATCGATATTTTTGGCGATATATTAAATATCATATCAATATTTTTCTTATGGAAAATTTATCAGCGATACGATATTTTAAAAATATTTGACATCCCTAATTAAGTCACAACAATAATACAATTATGTGCACAGAACCAGGGCACTATGGGGAATTTGGCCGATTTTGTGGAACGAATGTATTTTTTAAATGTATGCCGATTTTTTTTAATGTATTAAGAAATCATCGAACTGTTTGGTAAAGCCTAGTACTCAGATCGACAAACGAGTACGCTGGCGTAAAAACTTTAATCTTTCCAGTGTGACCAAACTTTCGAGAGTTCGTCAGAATTAAGCGTGCTATGGTCGTACTGTCAGTCAGCTGGGTTTGTTCACAAGCAGTTGTAATTCAAATATCGTATTTGCGGGAAAGAGCTTTTAAAAGATATTATCAACTACCTTGGCAAGACAAAACTGCCGCTGTACAAAGAAATTAAAAAACAATACAATTTAAATTTAGCAGTTGTTTTTTTTTATTTACTGATAATTATTTTATAATTTGAAGTTCATAGCTGCACTTTTATTGTGTTTTTTCGTACATTCTTGACCTAAAAAACATTTTGCTCTCACAAGAGGCACCCCAGATAGTATTAATGTTATTTTGTCCTCACATGGAAACTCCTGCAATCGACTTTTGCGAGTTTTTTGAGTTTTTCCCTCCATTTCATATAATGTTCAGTGAGAAGCGCACGCCAAAAGATTAAAGCCTAGTATCCAGATCGACGAAAACCGTACGCCAGTCATGAGAGAGAGCGAGATGCAAACAGCTGGCGTTCACTTTTCGTCAGGCCTTTTTTTCACGTCGGTCCCCTGATCGACGAAAAAATACCACAAAATTCCATAGCGTTGCCAGTCTGCGGAAATGAACTTTGGGTCAACCCTAGCGAAAAGATTAAAAAATTTAATCTTTTGGCGTGCGCTTCTCACTGATCATTATAAGAAATGGAGGGAAAAACTCAAAAAACTCACAAAAGTTGATTGCAGGTGTTTACATGTGAGGACAAAATAACATTGATACTATCTGGGGTGCCTCTTGTCAGAGCAAAATGTTTTTTAGGTCCAGAATGTACGAAAAAACAAAATAAAAGTGCAGCTATGAACTTTAAATTAGCAAATAATTATCAGTAAATTAAAAAAAACAACTGTTAAATTTAAATTGTATTGTTTTTTAATTTCTTTGTACAGCGGCAGACTTGTCTTGCCAAGGTATTTGATAATATATTTTAAAGGCTCTTTCCCGCAAATACGATATTTGAATTTTAACTGCTTGTCAACAAACCCAGCTGATTGACAGTATGACCGTAGCACGCTTAAATCTGATGAACTCTCAAAATTTTGGTCACACTGGAAGGATTAAAGTTTTTACGCTAGCGTAATCGTTTGTTGATCTGGATACTAGGCTTAAATTTGTTAATCTTTTCGCTAGGGTTCACCAAAGTTCATTTCCGCAGACTGGCAACGCTAAGCAATTTTCTGGTATTTTTTTCGACGATCTGAGGACCAAGGTGAAAAAAAACGTTGACGAAACGTGAACGCCAGCTGTTTGCCTCTCGCTCTTTGTCATGACTGGCGTTCAGTTTTCGTCGACCTGAGCCACCAGGCTTTAGGAACCACTCTCTTGATCAAAAACGCAGCTCTACTGAAGGTGTGGCATACGCAAAAGGGTCTTCGAGAAAAAGAAGACGCTGTATTCACTTTTGCTAGCAAGTAAATTGATCCCATTATTTTTGAAGAAAATCAAAGCGTTTTAAAAGACAAAACCAATTTTTCCTCAATTTATTGCAAAAATGACGAAAAGGCAAGAGAAAAGCTTTTAACAAAATATTCAAAGTGGATGGAAAGCAATCTTAGCTTGAATTGGATTGGAAATGAAAGCAAAGCAAAATCAAAGAAAAAAACCACTGGATGTCTAAAAACTATCATTTTGGTTAAAAGGTGCAAGAGGGAAAAGAAATATAGCTAATTATCTCTCAGCGGCCCAAAAGCATAATGTTGGTTTGCTGATTCAAGCTGCAGGCATAGCTGCTCGAAGACAACGATCTTGCTGTTATATTGAAATTACTAGCGGTAAATCCAGCAAAAGCCAAAATGTTCAGGAAACTGGTAAGCAAGCCCGTTGAGCAGCCTGTGCGTTCTTCGGCAGAGGAGGCTTTGGCTTTAATACTTGATCAAGGGGACACAAAGGGCAGGAAGGCAGATATTTATCCAAATTATAAAGAAGTAGCCGAAAAAAAAGGATATACTCGCCAATATTGATATAACGGAAACCGTGGCGAAAGTTTCCCTTCAGGATCTTTTGGATCATACCATAGCTCGGATAGTAGCTGATCAAGCGGGATTTATTGCAGCGACAATGAACGATTAGCACACAAATTTCCTATCTGCTGAATTGATTTTAAGCTATGGCTTGTTGAAAAGAGAGGGACAAGCGAGTTTCAATCAGGCATATACTGAATGCCAGTCATATCAAGCTGATTCGTCACTCTTCGCTACGACAGTTGCGCCTCTTCGCCTAATAGATTCATCAGGCAATGTTTTATGGTATAATGATACTCCTCAGAGTATACGATTTTGTCATCCGTTTAAACTGGAGTTTTTAAAAGAATCAATATTAAGAGAGAGCACTTACAGATACAAGCTGAAATACAAAATTTAATTACACCCAAACTAATCCTAAAAAATTAGCAATGCTTGTATGTAAAGTTCAGTCTGCACTGTAATTGATGGCAAAGTACTTAATGCCTAAACGGAAAAAAAATCTTTCCAAGCTTGCCCCATATGCAAAGCGACACCAAAGGTTTTTTCCTGGAAACAAACATTTTAAGTGTCTTCAGTTTGTTCCTATTTTGGACAATTTAAAATAAGGTGTAAATCCACAACATTGCTGGATTACATTTTTTGAATTTATACTCCATGCCGCATACAAAATTGACATAAAAAAGTGGAAACTATGAAACAAGGCGACAAATTCATGGTTTCGGAAAAAAAGAAACACGTTCAAAGTATGTTTTGGGAAAAGCTGGCGCTAAAAGTTGATCAACCAAAACAAGGTGGATTCGGAAGCTCCAATGTCGGAAATACTGGCATTGCTATCCAAGTCATTTTAAAAATGAGAACCATATTGATATTCTTATCATGCCAATTATCAATAAACCTTGACAAATATGGTCACCTTATTGTGGACAAATATCCATGGTTTTCCATGACACCGACTGTCCACAAGATTTTGGTGATGCTTGTTCTGTTCAACTTCGGAAATAAAGTATAGCTAGGGCTTATTGTATGGAATTTTGTAATTATTAAAACGAAAGAGCTTTTTAGCAGGCGTCTGCGAGTGATTGTTTATGTTTAATAAGACACCCTAAAATCACGGTGTTAAGTCAAGTACTGAAATAGGCCTACAAAAGAATATATATGAATGTAAATACTTATTATGCGAGCTCTGATTTTCAGGGTAAAGTAATTAACTGTAGTCTACTAGAATAAGGAGGTAAGATAAGATTTGCCTCCCATTTAAGGTGACGTAACACAAAAAGTATAAAGTTTTTTTTACTGATTTAATGTGGTCAATATGTATTCTATATTGTGGACTCTAGACAGGAGACCCATACTCCAGAATCATAGAATTTTTTTGATAAAACCAAGCATGCCTCTGACTTTATTAACCATGGACGAAATATGATCACAAAACTTTAAACGCCACTATCGTTTATAAGAGTAATTCTAATCAAAGAGTTGCCACATAGCTTCCAATTTCTGATTGACGAGATGAAAGTAAGCAGCTCGGATTCAAAGCTGTTTATTCCCTCACCAGTTTTCAAAGTTATCTAAGTCGGTTTGTAAGTCTTAAATCAGGAAGCACCATATATTGCAGGGATAATTTAACATCATCTGCATACATTAGTATGCGAGAATGACTGGTTGTTGATCTACAATGGTGCTGCAAATGGGGAGTAAACATTTTTTCAAAAAGCTTAGGGATAGCTGACAACCTAGATATACCTCTATAGTTACTGGCCTCTAACTTTTTACCTTTCTTGTGAAGCGGTTTGAAAATTTAGATAGTTTTCTAAATATTAAAAACCCGAATACTTGATGGCTAAAATTTTAATTACTTAGAGCCTAGCTTAACGAAAGTTGGCGAAGACGGGCGACTTCGAAGAGAGAACATTTTTGTGCTTTTGCTCTTAATTAACTTACACTATGCTTCAAAAGTTACAACTTCAAAAATAAAATGGTCAGCTTAACTGACCTAAGATTCTGACACCTATCGGGCTTCAACATATTGGAAGCGGCGCCGAAAAATTCCTCCTCCGCTAGTCCGCTTCCTGATGCGAATTCGCGTATCGTGTCTCGAGGGCAGTGGCGACTCGCTCCGACGAAGTTCGTCCCGCTGTCGCACGACTTGGGACATACTCGGCGTCCAACGAACCTTTAAAGAGCCAATAAAAAGAAACAACTTATACGAAGAGAGCAATGTAGGACTTATACGGAGGCAAAAATCAAGGCAACATTTAGCAAATAGGCGGAAAGAACGGAGACGATCCGCGAATAAATTTCACATAATTTATGTCATCAGTCGAGGATGGCACTTAAAGCAGCGCATGCATGATCGAACTATCTGACTCCTGAGCGTTTACGCTCCAAATACGCTGTCGAAGGTGAAACACAAGTGCTTGTGCACCAACATGTAAATTGGAATGGTGCAGATGCCGAACATAGCTCTGCACGAATTGAGAGCGTTTTGTTAACAAGCTTGCCATCGTATGATATAGGAACATTAGCTAGTCGGGCCAACTCTGGAGCCTTTACGAACTTTTCCCTTTCTTCATGATACTCGTGCTTCTGTAATAACTCGACAATTTTTAGAAAGGCTTCAATATATTACGTCGGCGACAAAGTTTTTTTTAAATACATTTTCTTATGAAGCATTTTCTTAAGAAGCATTTTTTTATGAAGCGGAGCATATAAACGAACAACCTAAGCAGTTTTAGGTGTGGTCTAGTAAACCATATGGAATGTATGATTTCGTCGAAGTCACAACCTCTTGATACCATATCTGCTGGGTTCTGTTTCGTTGGAACATGCCGCAATGTAGCTTCACCTGACCACTCTTGAATCTCCGCAAACCTAAGCGATACGAATGTGGACAATGAAGATGGATGAGACCGGATCCAATTAAGCGTAACTTCACAATCCGACCAATAAACAATTTGTTCGATAGGAACCTTTAATAGGGGCTTGATTCTGTGACAGAGATCTGCGAGAAGGTGAGCGGCGCATAACTCAAGCATTGGGAGTGTCTTGACCGGCGCTACCTTAGACTATTTATAACATTCTGCAGTTTTGAAACGAATGTATACGCAAGCTCCATAAGTTCTTAAGGATGCGTCGGCAAAGGCATGCATTTGGACCGGTGACATTGGATCGGTATGCACAAACCGAGACAAATTTATTTCTTCTTTTTTAGACAGCGTCATTTTTATCATATTCCTATTTCCAAATGCATAGGAATCCACTCATCAAAATCTAAGTTATCTCCGTTTTGTCGGTCGGAGACCCATGACAGCAGTGTCAATTTGGACCATGAAGGCATCTTTGTTAGGCAACTATGATATTCCTAACGCCTCAGTTGACTCTGAGTCCGAGATGGATATGGACTTAACTGTGCCCTTAGATGCGGTAACGTTAGGTGAGTTTGAAAACTACTTCCTCAATTCAAAACCTGCAGTTTGAAGAACCTGAGATGCTTCAGACTTAACATGTGTAAACTCCTCTACGCATGGAACACCAGTCAACATATCATCGACATTAAAGTCGGTTCCAATAACTTTCGCAGGTCTAGAAAAGAAAGTTTGCCAGACTCATTTAACCTTTTTAAACAACGAATAGCCCGAAATAGGGCTGGTCTAGTATCATATGTTAAGGTGTTGAGCTTGTATAATCTCAAGGACTCAGAGGGGTCTCTTCTCCACACTATAAGTTGAAACTGCCTATCTGCTTCATTCACCATCACTTGGCGATACATTTTTTTTACATCGGCGGTCAGGGCGAACCTATGCAAATGACCTAAGGAAAGGTACTCCTCCATAAATTGTCTAGGTTGTCTAGTAGTTCGAAAAATGATTCCACAAGCTCGACATTTATTAAATTTTCATGCAGAAACAGTGTGACCCTTTGGCATACAATTGATGCATAAGGAAGAAGATTGTTCAAAGTCAAACCTTTTCCAAAATCGGACCAAATCTAATTGTTCTTCCCATTTTTGTTTGGTCACTGGGTCTACTCTGTTCAAGACAAGATAGATCAACATTGCATTCGAAATCTTGGTGTCTTCTCCTATTGATAACAAAGAACCGTATATTGACAATATTTCTTAAAGACGAAGCTGACTGTTGCAATATTTTCGGAAGGCTAAACAATGTTGAAATATTATTCATAAAAATTAAACATTCGTTATCATACACTTTTTTGAGGATGACCATAGCCTTTTCATAATTGCTCTCGGTGACTTGGTAGGCCTTAATAGTTCCAATAGCTTCACCAGAAAGACAAAAAATTAAGTGATTGAATTTTTCAATAACGGGAATGTTGTCGTCTTGATGAACGAGAGTTTCGAAAAGGCTAATGAAATTGTTTAGCTCCGAATATTTGCCATCGAATTTTGGCAATGCCAAATTCGGAAATCGAAGTCGAGTTGGGGCTACAGAAAAGAAAAGCGACATTATTTCTGACTTGGTTATTGTTGAAAGCTCTTCCAACTCTTCTCCGAACTCATCGCCATCATCTAAATCTTATATTATCTTATATTAAAACCTCTAGGCGACAAATTAATTCTACTTTTTGAATCGGAATCTGGCCGGCATCTAGTCGATCATTTAATCGGCGGATGCTCATCACTAGTTTTTTGAGCTTGGTTTTAAGATCAGCAAGAAGTTCAAGAGATTTTGGCTTATCTGCACTCATTTTTATTTATTTTATATATATGCCACGAAAATAAATATATATATTTATATATAGAATAAATTATTTAACCACAGAACAATGTAAATGAATACAAAAAATCAATTTTAAAACAGGATAATATTGTTCAAATTAGAACGACGACGAAAATGTTCGAAACAAAAACGTTAATAATAATTTAATTTAATTTAAATAAATTTGTTTGAAACAAATTTATTTCAGTGAAAACGACGAAAAAAAATGTTAAATAGTTTTCTAAATATAAAAAAAGACCGAATACTTGGTGTCTACAATTTTAGTTGGCAAAATGAAAGCGAACGAAAAATAAAAACGTAAGTGCGGCTCAACTTAATTTCAACGATTGTTTCTTAGAGCCTAGCCTAACGAAGATTAGCGAAGACGGAGAGAGAACTTTATTGTGCTCCCGCCTTCACCCCAAACTAACTTACATATACTTCAAAACGTACAACTTCAAAATAAAAAGGTTAGCCTAACTGACTCAAAGAGGGAGCCTGCTTTAGAGGCTTCAAAAATTTTTTTGCCTAAATGTCTACCCAAACTATCCAAAAATGTATCCCTAAAATTTCAGAAGAAAATTAAAAATTCACTTTTAAAATAGTAAAGGGAGAAATAGTTAGCAAGCGTTACGATTTTTTATATAAGGTTTTTTATATACGATAACTTTGAAGTGCGATTTCTCGGTTTTTCATTTTTACGATTTCTCCTAACTGGCGGGAGAGATAGGGAAAAAATTAAACGTCTTATCGAGACGAGACAAACTTTCGTGCTTAAATTCTCTTCTAGTTAAACCTAAAAAACCTTAAAAAGTTTTGATTAACCCACTTTTTAAACAATCTGAATTAAATGATTTTTTTTTCCATTTGCGAATAATATTAGAATTTCTCACATTTTGTTCGATTTTCTAGCTATAGAATTTTTTTCGGTTTTTGTTTTTCTGATGGAAATTGCGACCTGCATCTTTCCCTCGAAATGCTTGTACCAGGCATAATATGACATATATTTTAAGGAACAAATTTGAGAAGACTTTTGAAATATATAACAATAAAACATGAAAGTTTCGTTTCAATCGAATATTTCTTTACTTCCCAAAAGAGTCATCGGAAAATCCTTTTTGAAGCTTCTAAAGCAGGCTGCCCCCTTAAGCCAAGAGCTCAGTCAGGGCTTTAGAATAATACCTAAGCACGTACCCAGCCAAACAAAAATGAGAACTTTCGGTTACTGTGGGACAAAATATGAGGTGTTGAATGATCAAATTTTTTTTTTCGGCCGTTTATATAATATTTTGTTAGCCAAATCACTGCTTCTAGAGACACAAGGCTGGAAGAACAGATCACAGACACAACAGCTTGATGTTAACCCATGAAGAAGGACATCAAGAGCCCATCAGGGTGTGAAGTTAAAAATACTGACTGAATCGAATGCCTTGCTATGACTGAGTTGAGTCAATAAATGTAGAATTCTGTTAACAGTTTTTTAATCGCAGAGGTCTGGTTCAGTGCCCTCTCTTCGACTTCTATTTTACTTTTATTTACTTTAATCTTTAATGATTGTTGTTTTTAAAAGTGGGAAAATATTTATAAAGCGCGCGTTCAAGCTTCATTTCTTATTTAGGTAAACACAACAAAAAGAGTTAAGGTTGTCCACATTATTCATACATTAAAATTTAAACAAATAAAGGTTGTAATTTTTTAAGTTGAGTATTATAAAGATATTTTCATTTTTTATAAAGCACAATAAAAAACATCAAACCTGCTGACAATTTTATGTGAAATTCAACCAAACAAAAATTAAAGCAAACTTCGGCAAGCCGAAGTTTATGTATATGTTGCAGCATGATTATTATCGTCCGACATCGTAGTAGTGCACCGAGTTTCGGTTTTGCACACACCAAGTTCTAAACGCAACTAACTGCGTCATCCATTCTTCTTTCTGTGCTTACCACCGAATCACACTCGGCGACAGCGACACTACGCTGTCGCCCCGCTAAAACGCAACTTTTTAATGCGACAACCAAACACAGCACAATTAGAGGCTGATGCAATATTACAAATAATGATAAAACAAGTTTTCTGGTGAAAATCCCGAGACTGTATGCCAATACACTCATACCAACATCAACACACTCTTAGTGTGCGCCCACATATAAATACAAAAATTAAATATTCTATAATACGATTTCGATAGATTTTTCGATCGTTCGATTTTTGTAAAGGTAAAACCGTAATTCTGGAATCGTTAAAAATTGCTATATCTCGGAGTATATATGTAAGATTTATTATAGAGTATAGGTTTATTTATTATTAATACGATTATGTATTAGCCGAACAGGTAAATGATATTAATCAAGATTATGAATGATCGACAGAAATTCGCGAATTTTGACAACTTTCAACT